TGAAGAGTTATGGGAGGTATAGTACATATTTGGTTCTCCAATGATTTCAATCGTAATTCTTGGTTCAAGGTGAAATTTCGACCAATGACGGGTTATAACAAATTTGAAGTGAGAGATCTGACTGCAGCAGAGAAAAAGTCAGCAGGCCTGCTTGACAAGAAGGTGAAATTTAAATATTCATACTTTGAAATAATCTTTGATGAGAGGTTTTAAGACCGCAAGTGAGTCGGGCGAAAACATCACTGTTGGAATTGCAAAGCCGGGCGTTGCCTATATCCCTCCTCATCTCCGGAAGTGTAAGTTCCAATCATCACTTCTGCAGACCAATTCAACGCGGCGATAGCCTTGTACCAATTAATTTTAATCTTATGGAGTGAGGTGTTAGTGGCTTCGCTTCCTTATCACATATTACACAGCATGCTTCAGAATCGGTTGCTTTCTCGCTGATCATCAATCACACTGGATGAAATTTACTATTAATGGGAAAAATTATTTTTAGCTCGCCCGGCGGACTCCAAAAGTGCGCAGACAGCAGCTTCCAAAGATTTGCAACCAGCAGCTCCCAAAATGACTGAAACTGAGAAAAAGATTTTTGGCATAAAAAAGAAGTTGAAGGACGTCAGCGTTTTAAAGGTCAGTCAAGCTTTCATTGTTAGAATTTATACATACCTGGAATTTGACATCTTTTTACTTTCCATCTTAAAGGGAATAGTCCTTATCGTGACTCAAGATTTTAGTAAAAACATCTACTCTACTAATGCACTTCATTCAGATCCTACTTTTCTAAACAGTGACCTCTTCTTGACTCCTTTTCTATCAAATCTTCCTTTTCATTGGGAAAGACGTAATCGTTGTTGTGTCGTTTCCATTTACCATCGAGTTTTCTTCAGGCTCGACTTGCCAACGGCGAGGAGTTGCAGACGAATCAGTTGGAAAAGATTGCAAAGGAATCGGAGTTCCTTGCGCTTTTGGAAAGTTTAGGCGGGACTCTTTAAAATATCACTTCTCTTCTTCTGTTACTGATCTAGATATGTCTGTTTTCGCTCATTTTGGTGACTTTCCCAAGACACCCCTTGTTTTCATTTCATTGGTACTGATTGTTGTTCAAAGTTCTATAAATGAAAATTGGAATTAATTATTTGAGCTGTTAATGAGAAGAACATTCTAACAATATCGCAAACACTAATTGTAAGTCCTTTCTCTACAAGCTTGCATAGCTTTCGACTTTTCGTTCCACTATTGCTTCAACGTCCGCGACCTCAGATCTTAAACTTAATGGAGATAAAAACGCTCTATTTTATGGAAATTAACTGGTTCTGACCTACGCTGGTCTTACAATTGTAAGCAAAATAATCCCAATAACTGACTTATAGCACCACTGGAACTCTACAGCTTTTCTTTGTTATCATTCGAAGGTAATTATCCCGCAGAATTGGTAGAATCACGAT